TAAATTTGGAGTTATAAATCTTTTCGGCTGGTTGGTCGTAACGGCCGTCCAGTTGGCCAACACCCTTTGTTCTTCGCAGCGTTTGAGTTCCATATTACCGTAAAGTTTGATATTCCACAGTATGGTTCTGTGCCAATAAACTTTGAATTGGAACCTAATGTTATGAGATCGTTTGCCCTTTCATTCCCTTCAATGCCACAGTGTACTTACTTACTTAAGGGTCCTGTGAACTATCAGCGGTGCAAAGGGCCAACGTGAAAGACTTCCATCCTGGGCGGCTGCTCGCTTTTGCTTTGACCTGGGCACAGGTAAGATTCCTATCGACTTGCTTAATTTCCTTATTGAGGCTCCGCCGCCATGAACCCCTGGGTCTGCCTCTGCTGCGATGTCCTGCCGGATTTCTGTTGCTATTGGCTTCTGATGACATCGACGATGGAGCTCGGTATTCGAGATCCAGTTATGAGGCCACCAGGCACGAATTATATACCCGAATGGAAGGGTTGCCAGTGTTGATATCCAACGATTTGGTCTTGTTGACGTTGATGGTGAGACCCGCCGCAGAGGAGCGTTCGGCTAGGTCATTGAGTTTACTCTGCATATCAGAGCACCGTGGTGCTAGTAGAACAACATGATTAACCAAACGGAAGTCGTTGAGATGCTCCATGGTGATAGGCTGCCAAAGCAGCCCACGGTTCGGTACACGGTCAATTGCACCATGATCGGTGGTGTAGCGGTGATAGTATACATCCTTGTCTCACACCAGCGACTACCAGGATAGGGTCTGACAAGGCTCCGTTATGCAGAACTATGCACGTGAAAGCCTCATACTGCGCTTCGATGAGGTTGACGATTTAATCCGGGACTTCCTTACGTCTCAGGGCGTCCCACAGATTCTCGTGATTGAGACGGTCGAAGGCTTCTTCGTAGTCAATGAATACCAAATAAAGGGACTCTTGGAATTCATTGACCTGCTCCAGGATGATGCGGAGCGTGACAATATGGTCCACACAAGATCTTCCGGCACGGAATCCTGCCTGCTGCCGTCGGAGAGTCGCGTCAATCTTCTCCTGTATCCGATTCAGGATAACTTGGCACAGAACTTTGAGAAAAATACACAGTAACATGATGCCTCGCCAATTGTCGCACACAGTGAGATCCCCCTGCTTTGAGACCTTCACTAAGATGCCCTGCATCCAGTCACGGTGTCCCAGATATTACAGAATAGTTGATGCTACATTTGTGCGGATAGCATGGGGTCAGCTTTGAGCATCTCTGCTGATATGCGATCGACCCCTGGAGCCTTGTTGGATTTCGTGCTTCGGATGGCTGCTTCAATCTCCTGCAGTGATGGGGCCTCGGAATTGGCGCGAGTGATGCGCCGCACCCTAGGCGGATCATGCCGAGATGTTGATGGCTGGTTGGCCGTCGAAATTTGAAGAAGTTGTTCGAAGTGCTCAAACCAGCGTTTCAGCTGTTCAGTGGGGTCGGTAAGCAATTGTCAGTCGTGTCCTTCACTGGCATCCTCGGGTTCATCCTTGCTCCACTCAGGCGTCGTGAGATATCGTAGAGGAGGCGTATATCGCCAGTGTTTGCGGCTTTCTCCCCTTCGTCGGCCAGGGAGTTCATCCACGCTCGCTTGTCCCGTCTGCAAGAGCGCTTGACTTCCTTCTCTAGAGCCGAGTACCGTTGACGGGCTTCGTTCTTGGCTCCTCTGGTTCTCGCCCGCTCTATCGCGGCTTTTGCTTCTCTTCGCTCCTCAGTCTTCCACCAGGTTTCATCTGTGATCCACTCTTGCCTCTGGGTGCGCAGCTCACCCAAGTTGTTCTCGCTTGTTTCTATAAAGACATTCTTGATGGCCGTCCATTGTTCTTCTACGCTGCCACCTCCTGGAACGTCCGCAGCTCGAGTCTCAAGTTCTTCAACAAAAGACCTTTTTACCGCTGGATGTGTGTTGAACCACCGCCCGAGTCTCTCCTCCCGTCCCTGGATCCGCGCCATGCGTAGGCGGATTTCGCCGATTAGATGGTGATGGTCAGACGCGATGTTGGACAATGTCCAATCGCCACTGAAATGTTTGCCCCAGGGCCAACCATTTCTGCACCTGTTTATTCTTATTGTGTAGCCATCTGTGAAAAATATGATTGAGCCATGACGAACGCTAGGACCACCGACTTCGCAATCCGAGTGCAACGTTTCACATGAGTTGAAGGAAGTGTCATAGCTGTCCTCTGGTTTCATCCAGTCTCCATTCATACTCACCACTGATCCTCTTTGGAGGTATTGTAAAATGCTTAGGTGATCAACCAGATCACCTGGCATGACTTTTGACGTAGGATTACGTCTTTCGGCAACATATCGGGGGTGCAATTTAAAAAAACAAAATAAAATCGACCGCGTTACGAAAAGTGGTCAGATTTTGACAACTTATAACTCTGTCAATAGCGAATGGATTTTAATTCTAAACAAGCCAATCGATGGGTAATTTTTCTAAAAGGCTGCTAAAATTAATATTTTATAAATTTTTAAAAGGTCACTATTGAACATTACACAAATGTCCAACTGTTGCAATAGTGACATAACTTATTTTCCAATGTGATGTAGTTTGCTAGAAATACTTTTTATAAAATTATGAAACGAGTTCAAGCCTTTACATTGTCGGCGTATTAAAAACTATACCGGCGGCGTGTCAAAAATGATCAGGGAGGCACGCCGACTCTAAATCATCGGTGGTGGCGGTGGCGTGTGAAAAAAAGTCGGTGGCGGTTGCGTGGCGTGGCGGCGCACAGGTGTAATTTGAGTAGCTTGCCAGGTTGAAAAAATCGAACCTTCTTAATCTTTTTTCGAGACTGATTTCATAATTAACTGAGAAGTTCAAAACCGTAGAAAATGGGTTGCTCTTCGGTGAAATGACTCCTGCGGCGAAATGACCTTCGGTGAAATGACTCATTCGGTGAAAAGTCCTCAGACGAAACGTCCTTCGATGAAATGTCGTGCTCCCAGAAAATATAATGAAAACGCTATGATTGAAAATGTGTCAGGTAAATGCCACATGCATATCTGATATATTTATAATGCTGATAAGTTGGTAACTTTTATATGATCGCCATATGATAAATGATAATCGATCAAATTATAAGAATTAACTGAAATTGTAACCGTTCACTAATTTTCGTTGAGGTTTTACTGAAACTCAGTGGCTTAAGCACCATTCTCGGATAGACGAGACCACTGATTACTAATGGCACAACTAGCTTTATTTAAGGTTAAACACCCTGAAAGCTGTATAATTCCTAGATCATGCCTGCAGTGGAATTTTAAAGTATGCATCTTTTCAATCAACGATACTGAAATAGTTCGCCTTTTGAAGACGATGAAATATCTCAGACATGTTTCTCATGGGATAGGCGTCCTTTTTGGTTACTGACTTAATTCTTATGGAGTCCAGACAAACTCAAATTTTCCCGTTTGCTTTCTTGACTGGTACGAGTGGGCTTGTGAACTCCGACGTGCATTCCTCTATCACTCGTGAACTTTTCCACCACTCCAGCTGTTCCTCGATCTTCTCCCAAATCTTCGGCGAATAACGATACATTGGTAGATCCCTCATCTTTCCTTCTGTAACGAGGTCAATCTCATGTTCGATGAGTGTTCTAGGAAGCTAGACAACCAGACAGAAGATTTCCGATAAAATGCAACATGTGTTGCAGAAAAAGATTGAGAAATTGAGTTTAAGAGAAATTGCAAATTTAGACATTAGGCACGCAAAGGTTAGCAGATCCATACATTCTACGAAATCTATTTGCAAAGTTCACTTGGAAACAATTGATACCACAAAATTATATATAATGTCTGTTTTAAATCGACCTCCCTCTGACAGATTCCAATCATCCAAAGTAATTCTCGTTCTCCAGGGATATTTATTGCTTTAATACTTTGCCTACCGATATATTCCAAACAATCCTCGAAATCAGTACTCAGGATTCAGAAATTGCATATCGTCCCACATCCACTATAAGAGAGCAAGACAAAAAAAAGAAATAGAATAAAGAACAGTAACCTACAAACTGCATCGCCCTCCACCCACCCGCGACCATTTACCTCAGCATCAAATACCTACTAAAATGCCCATGAATAAACACAGTAATGGTTGAGAAGAAAAGGATTCGCAGTCTCATAAAAGCGAAATGAGGAGAACAAGCCAGTCAGCGTGGTGTGGTGTGGTGAAGTGCAATACGAAAAGGGGTAAAAACCAATTGTCTAAAAAGCATATTCCGAGCCGTGTGGGTTTTTTCAATACCACTTGATGACGACGCTGATGATGGCGAGGAGAAAACAGAACGGAACGAAACCCGTAACACACAGGGAGGCAAAAAGCCGGAAAATAGACAGTGAATTTCATATTAAGAATGCTCATGAGCTCAAGGCTCCGGGCCGGGGGTGGATGCTTGAAAAGCAAATGACGAACATTAAATTTTGCTTACTTTTTTAAATGGTCTACCATATCGTTCTTTTCCCTGTCGCATTAGGTGGTGGATGACAGTGGACAGCTTTGTAGCAGTGTGTCTATGTACGTTCGTTGGTCGTTGTGGCTTTCCCGGCCAGATGGGGTTGTTGATTGTATTAAACCGATTTCCAGCGGTTCTGAGCTTTGTCTTAATAACAAGGTGGATCGGTAATGGGTTCGGAGATTTCAAGACGTATGGAATCGTCGGGCCCTTCTTTTTAATCTATCTAATACCTCCACAAGCATTTCTTTTTAATTTCACTTGTTCCAGAAATTGAATGATTAAGCAATACATTATCTTGGATGTCAAATAAAAGAAATCAATCATCGATGTTTTACTGTATTCGATAGTATGGTGCAATATCAACAGTACGATTTCGAAAGCATAAAGCGGGAGTAGAATGTGCAGACAGTGTTTAATTTATTGTATTGAAAATTAAATGTAAAAAATTGGTTCCTCAGAGATTAACTTTCTTCTTCCTTTCTTTCGTTGCAGGGAACCGCCGTCACTGGGGCAGCACAATAACTCCAATGTCGTCCTGAAGCTGCCGATGGGAAAACGTATACGTGACATTCGTTGGCTTTCAGTGTGGTGCAGAAGATTTACGGTAAGTCTACGTTCTATATACGTTTCTTGATTGAATCGACTATTGGTGGTATTGTTTGAGATTATGGCTATCAGGCTGTGATACTCAAAAACGGGCTTCAAATTAGAATTCGGCATTCCAGCATCATTTGTTTCGCATTCATTAAAATAGAATTCACTTTGATACGTATTCCAAAAAATCAGACCCAGTTTGTTTTTTCGACGCATCAATTCAGATTTTAGTAGTCCCTTGACATTTTACTTAACATGACCATTAGTGTTTCCTTCCCGGGAAACCATTGCCTGTAAATCCACCAAAATTGACATTTTTCGGAAACCCTGTTTGACTTCCCAGGATACGTATTTTTATTTTGTAAAGAAGCCATGCTAAACATCAAAGAGGCTGAATTGGCCAGTGCCCATGGTGTAGCGTGACTGCTTCTCACCCTAATCGGTCTGCGTTCAATCCCAGCCGAGGTCGATGGGATTTTTCTGAAACATAAAAATCTCTGGTCTTCGGAAGGAAAGTAAAGTCGTTCGGTCCGGTCCATGTGTGTTGATGGGTGCGATATTAGGGTGGGGCTTATTTTTTAAATTTGAGGGACTAATTAAGTTACATATAAAAAATTTAGCTTTTTACGTTGACGCAAGAGGTGGCACGATCTATCAGAATCTATCTGAGGTATCTCAAGATATATGGCATAGCAATGTTCCCGCATATGGACTTACGCTTACATATTGATCTATGCAGCGTGAGTAAATATGAAAATGAGAGAGAATAAGACAGTATGAGAGTAAAGGGTATTCGGAAGATCATTGGGAAGTTCTGTTACAGCAAATAATTCACGCGTCTTTCTTTGCTGCGATACGTCAAAAGACTCATTTTTTTGTTCTGTTTCTGTAGGTTGCTATGTTCAAACTAAATAAGTAATTAATCATATAATCATAGAATAGTGGTGAATCATATATAGTTTCATGAAATCTTATAATAGGTAGATGCTCCTTTCTAATGCAATGCCCTTTACTTCTTACACCTTCTCTTTCCCCTACTCTCTATTGGACAATATTTTCAAGATTTTATGCTTGGGTTTCTTCAATATCGACTTGTACTTTGGAATCACCATCACATCATCGACTATTGAAGAATCTTAAAAGAGAAAAGAATATAGATTTGCCATACCGTATGCGTGATAATGTTTGCACCATTAAGCGTAATAATGTCAAAATTAAAAAAAAAATCTCAAAAATTTCGTTTTCGAGTTTTTTTTATTTATTTAAAGGGGGATGTTTTTTTTTTTTTTTTTTTGCTGCTCCTCTTTTCCCTGGCTTATACCGTGTGACGGTCCATCTCGCCAAGGGGAATGTTTCTCAGAGTCTTAAACTATGTTAATCATCGATCGAGTTTCCACTTGCTGCAATTACGGCCTCCACATGCTTCCGGAATGCACGGCAAGTTCTAATAATGTAGTCTGGATCCATTTCTCTCCAGATACGGGTCAATGTTTGTCTGAGGCTTGCTGTACTCGGATGGAGTTTAGAACAGGCCTTGGCCTTCATGACGCGCCATATTGAGTAATCCAGCGGATTAAGATCGGGCTGGATGTCGGCCACACATCCTTCGCCCAGAACGGAAGATGTTCCTGCAACCACTTCTGAGTGCGGCTCGAGGTGTGGCATTTTCTTTTATACATAGCCTACTACGGTATGAGCTATAGGTTACGTGCATGCAAAGAAAACCAAGGCATTGTATGCACAGGTGAAACGGTAACCTTATTTGTACGATGGTTCAAACATTATCACGCATACGGTACTATAAATGTATAATACAAATTTTCATAATATTGTACTCGTTTTGTCCAACGAATTGCTTGAACCAGCAGAGATATTTTTTGCGAATTGCAATCTAAAACTCCTTGAAATAATCGTTGCTTGAGTTCTTCATTTATTTTTTCATGATATATCCAGTACGCCGGAATTTTCTATCGTTATCGTAATCGAAAGAAACTTCTACATATGTGGGAAATAATTGTTTAAATGACCTCTGAATTAATCCAATCGTGAAACTCCATATAATCTGAAAATCAATACTCTGTGAGTGTCATGAGCTCATAATTCCAAATTTGGAGTAACAATTATTCAACAACTTTGAACTTGAGTCCTTTGCAATTCAACAAATAAATAATCGGCTCAACGTACTTTGACTTTATGTTTGGTGTTACTTCTGCGTGAAGTCAACGATTTACATAGTTGAAGATGCTAACAGACTGAAGTGGTAATTTTTATACGATAGATGAGGAGATGAAAGTATAGAATTGATAGTTCCGTTAGAGTACGGCAGTGTGAAAATTGCATATAGAGAGAGTAGAAAGCGAGCAAGGACAACTTTAGGAAGGTACGAATCGGTTTGATCATCTCTCTTTACCAAACTCCTCCGTTGGAGAGAGATGCGTACGTACTTCTTCACGCTATTTAAAATTCTTTCATTAGAAAATACATCGTCTTATGTCTAATCGATAATACTTGATTGAACAACTCAAAAATATTAGTGCATCTTCCATTTCATAATCATCAAACAGGGTCAATCCTAATCCCATTTTAGTAACTAAATCTATGAGCTTACCCGAGTTTCGGTACTCGACTGATAATCAGAACTACAAAGTCATAAGAATGATTTCCTTAATTCATCTTATAATTTCTTGACAATACATCTTTGAACAATCATCTTACTTGAGTCATTGCACCTTCCTGCATCCCTCTATCAATACAAAATCACTTTTGAGTAGCTTTTCAGGCTCATAATACTCAACTGAGAAAAACAACAACAAATGTTTCAAACATCTTCTCCTGAATTACTCAAAATTACTTTGTTTATTAATTTATGTGATGAGGTTCAATCGAATTAACTTTACAGAGCCGAGGGTTCTGGTTCACTATACAAAACATCTTAAAACTTTAGTCAAAAGGTACAAAACTAAAAAAAATAATGAGGAGGACCACACAATGGTTGCTGTCGAGTAAACAGACGATTGCATGACGTGAATCAAGAGTAGCTTCCCGAGCTGAGAATCAAAACAAAATGAAAACTAAATTTGATATTTTGATATAAGCGTTCGTGATAACATATTTTGCCTACCGTGTGGTCGAGTTCACAGTTATGATAACAAAAATGAGATCGAAATGGTATATAAAGCATATTAAAAAGATAACCAATCATATTTTCTTGATAAATGATGCGTTTTGAAATCAGTAATTTCGTTAATAATAAACAAAATAAGTAATCTATATGTTATGTTTTCATGTATTCAAAATAACAGCAAACCTATATTTCAATCAGTTCTACCGATATATATCAGTTAAATTGATTTTTAAATTCAATTCGCAGGTAGATTAATATCAATAAATGTTGTAAAATATAGCAGTGAAAATCAAAATTGCGTTTGTGATCTTCATAAAGAAAACAGCAAGCATCCTAATTAACTCGTAAGAAAAAATAAAATAAATTTAAATTTCAGTGATAAATGTGGATGCTCTTTTCCTAAAATTTCAAATATGATTTTTAATTATATTTATCAGAAATATCAAAATATGAATTCAACCGGAAATATTATTTGATATCATTTTGATAGTATTTTGATATCCAACTTTGCTCGGGTTGCTTCTGTCGACTTCTGTAAACACTCTCAAAACTACTTTGAACAATCATCTGATTCGATCAATCAGTTCGTCTGCCATCTATTCAACGTCGTCCCTTAGATCAAAACTTGATCAATCTTAAATCCCTTTTGAGTAAATAAATCTGTGATCTTATCAGGCTCTTAGCTCATGACTACAAAGTCATCAGAATATTTGTTTTTCTATTCCTCGTATGTTCACTCGATAACACCTCTTTGAACAATCATCTCACTCAATCAATCAGTTTATCTTCCATCCACTCATCATCTGAACCCTTGACCTCATTCCTGAATTTGAAACTTGATCAATCCTAAATCTCTATAGGTAGCTGAATCTATAGCTTACCAGGCTCTTTACACTCTTTCCATTTATGCCTTAGTATACTCTTATCAAGTCCATTATGTATTCTCGATAATAAGATCGATTACCGTTGAACAATTATGTCACAAGAGTCAATCACATGGCTACATCTTTCTTCTATTCTATTCAAAATTCAATAACATAATCAATTATATCAATAATATCAATCTCTTATGTTAAATAAATTTAAATGTTATCAATCCTAGATCTCTTTTGAGTAGCTAAATCTATAAGCTTACCAGGCCTTTAGCACTCAACTCTCAAACATAATGCAGGTGTGGAAGCTGCCTTCCTGCACATTCTATTGCCGTCAATGGATGGAAATCGATGTCCGTCGGTGATTGGCACTAGATTGTGGAACAAAGACAGAGAGTCCCTGCCGGTCCTTGGCTTTCTAAACGAAAGACTTGGACAGATTCAACTTTTTGGCCACATCCCTGACCGAAGCATTGGGATTCCACTTAAACGCTTTCAGGACACGCTTGTAATTCTGATCACTAATAGAACATCCATTCTGACCGCATTTCTCCTTCCGTTCGATGCTCAGAGTTTCATAGTAACGTTTAATCACACGACTCACCGTTGACTATACGACTCCGAGTTGTTTTCCGATGTCCCGATGAGAGAGTTGAGGATGTTCCAGGTGCTTGTGCAAAATCAATTCGCGACGTTGCTTTTCGGGTGACGCCATTTTATTTTCCAACTTTCGAAAAACTGACAGCGATAAAAATACAGTGTAAATAATACACTCTAAACTACTTCTGACCCAAATTTTCAAGAAAAAATACCCAAGGGTTAATTTTCTGCAGCGTTTTTTTTTTTTTGTGATGCAATTTGATGTGGGACACCCTTTATTTTATTCTATAGGCTTGGCAGTCTTACAATGAAAACCTAGAATCACGGTTCTTTAAAAAAAAAACTACATCTGAATCAAACAAACCGTGCTATTCCACGCAATTTTCCATCAGTATATCTTCGTAATACTAAGTT